GTTTCGTCGGAACGAATTTACGAAAAATTAACTAACGAACGGAGGTGTAACAATATCTTATCACTGTTACCAAGATGACCTTCTTGGTTCACTTTCAGTCCTTTTATGATACATACAATACTAATATATTTAACTGGAAAGTTCTTGAATGTATTTCTCAAACTAATTTTGGTTTATTCTTTTCTTTAAAGAACATTTTTGAAAAATGTTTTTACTTTGTGCTATATCTATATCTTTTTTCCAGCACTTCCGACATTCAGTCTTAAGTGAAACATTTGATACAAAGAGGAAAACATTTCTTTATTAGGTTGGTTATTCTCAGGTGCCCTGATTTTCCCCAAGAATAATGAAATAGGTTTCGTAGAATAATAGAAGAAATTCGATACGGAAGAATATCAGGGAACAAGTCTGAGTTCTCTTACTTTCACTAAGTATGAAAAATGAAAGAGACAGGACTTTATTTATGACAAAAATGAACCACTTTAATTACATTTGCAAACACAATCAAAATAATAGGTGTATAGTCAAAGGACGGCGCCTTTATTGGAAAGAGCTCTATATACTTGAGATGGGTTTCGTTTTTCGTATACTATTGTGTATATTTAACGTGTTTTATTACTTTAAAGAAGGGTTTTACCTTCTTCGCTCTTAATTCACTTTTCTTGTTTAAACTATGTATTTTTCAATAAAATTATAAAATAGGCATGAGAGGGCGCACAATACAACACGCCCAGGGTCTCTCTTTTTAGTTTATGTCTACATACATAACTAACTATTATAAAGTGTGTGTGAATAATAATCGCGCAAGTTCACGGACATTCACAAATTGCAGTCAAATATTGCTAATGTAACTAACGATAGAATTATTACTTTACTAAACTTAAAATTTCTGTTTTTTGTTGTTTTTTTAAGATTGAGATAGAACACCGACGTTAGATTAAGAAATTTTGGGACTGAGCTCAAACTTAGGTAAGAAAATGGTACACATAAAATGATGAAGCTTATCAAATTCAAAGATTCAAAATCAAACTTAAAAAGTAAAACTTACGAATACTGAAATATTGAACCAACTTGATGAGTAAACGCTGAAGCTGGCTTACGCAACAACAAGTTACAATTTACAAACTCTGGATCATTGTTGCTTCCTATTTTAAATCAAAATATGTTATAACTTAGCATCAGTGGTTCTTAACCTTTTTTTGCTCCATGCCTCACCTCGACACCTCAAAAAATTTGATGCCCCAT